AGAGGATATTAACGAATATAAACATGTATGAAATAGTTTCCATGTCGGGGATATTTTTCATGGTACAGGACATTTGCGAATATATTCAAATCTCAAATCTGACGGTTGCGAAACAACACCAAACCAATTATATAAAGGAACAATGTTAATAATTTTTGATAATTTTGACAGAGACACTCCCCTGCAGTTGGGCGTAATTTTACCGTTGTTGACACCAACACCAACTTTGGAAAGTGTAGCAAGGCTTATGAGCGCAACTCTCTGCCGAGATCTGGGGAAATTCCAATAGTCGGTTTGCAAAAGTCTGTACCAAATTAGATTGAAAAGCTTACCAAGTCTTGTTTATTAATAAGTGAATCAATAAATAAATTAGTGAAATACCGCTTCCCTCGATACTTCCCTTTCCCTTATATTCGTCGGATGAGTTATTGCTTACATATAATAGTTATGCTGACAATGAAAGATTTTGTTTCCTTTTTGCCGCCTTATTGTCTTGTCTTGCTCTAGATCTAAATATAAAACAAAGTGTAAAGAAATTCAGAAAAACAAAAGTAAGAAAAAACAAACTTCGACACTTCGATTGATGTCTAAATTGGAAACCAATTAAACTTTGACTTTTTTAATACTTGGTCACGTGTCATAACAACTATAAAAAAAAAAAAAGAAAAGAAGACTGAAACTCACAACATAAGCGCATTTACCCTTAGGCATTACAACGACTTCTTACATGTAAGCAAGTAGGGTTGACGGGTAGATAAAGACAGGAAGTTATGTTGTTGCACAGAACCTTCCTTTACGGCAAACGCGTTAATTAAGTCATACCGTAAGTGAAGAGTTTAATAAGTATTTTTAAACGAACACCTAATACCCGACAAATTTTTTTTAAATTTAAAAAATACGTTTAAAAACAAAGAAGAAATAAAAAAGAATTGTGAAGACGAAGGAATGGATATGAAATTTGGGGAAGAAAGCATTATTCAATACATCCGAAATCTATTGTTAAAATTTGTCCGACTGATCAACCGGACAAAGGATTTTGGCCATTATATCACTCACTAGTTGTCATCAAATCTCAACGGGTGGGTAGAGTTTTAAATAAAACCGGATGCTAGCGCTTTTCAAGATCGTAGTCTTAGAATTTATGGTTAAGTGAATAATACTAACAATAATATTATTAAATATTATGCAGTGGGCTACGGCCTGGACGGTGTTGCTACGACGGCGTAATAGTTTTCGTGAATTTCTTCTTTATTGTAAAATGAATGCAATTCCAGAAAGTACATATCACTTCTCCCAGCGTCCCTTTTCTTCTCACTGGCGTCATTCGTTTAACTTCCCTTTTGATCTAGGAGAACATCATAAGCGATACTCTTGTCAACAAGTTTTTTCTTTGTTTCTAAAAGTACAGAAAAGGCAGCTTTTCTAACACCGAACGCTTAATATAGTCCTTCTCTTTCCAGCGAATATCAAGTTCTGCAATTATAGATTCAAGTGATACTGCCTTGATTGGAATTGCCGTACCATTTGCTGCAACATATCTGCTGTTTGTTTTAGTTGACAGAGTGTTTGTTATATACGTACTACTGGTGGACTATTCATATATGTAATCGAAAGAATTTTAGATAGGTTTACGTTTCGTTACGGAAACCATTTTCAGAACCTTTTTCTGAATCAGATGTGAAATCATTCTCTCTACTAATTTAACCATGTTTCTCCTTCGGTCCGTCTGTCAATCTTACATCCACCATGTTTCAAATTCAAAGACCGCAGTTTTCTAGTTATATTCATTAATTTTGCGACCTACTCTTTGAATTGCATTGGATTGCATTATTTTTATAACCGGACGAAGAAAACCACGTTGTGCGCTGACATAAAAAAGGAATGTGATGAAGTTGATTGGGATTGGATCATATTTTTAATACCTTTCCGTAAAAGCAATCGCACAAACATAGATCTTTTTATGGCAAAAGGGTCTTATCTTTAATACTTTATAATGAAAATTAGTATACAAAATAGTAATTTGACCAATAATTGTACTGTCTTTAGCTTGAAATACATAAGCCAGTTTCTTAAATCCGTCCCCAAAAAGTGATGTCTGTACAAAATAATTCTTTATAGCGCAACAAGACATCAATTTTGATATTTCATGACGAAACTAATTACAGAATTGGACGCTGTCGATTCATGTGTTAAGCCCACTCCTGTACAAATATTTTGGTGAAAAGTAAGCTTTGGCATGGGGATAAAATTCAAGCTTTTCTGACACAAAGTCGTAAAGAAACGCCGTAGTGTAGATGGAGTAAGTTATATAATTATATATACATACTATATGACATATTAATATTTTACAAGAGCGTATCTTTCGGACGACACCCCTTCTAGGAATCCGTAACAATAGATAGGCTTTTTTGGTAGCAGTAAGCTACAATTGTTCTTGTCTTTGTTTGGTAAATTCGTCACCTGCTCTTTTTAGCACTGTTAGGAAAGGTGGCTCGCGGCCCTAGCAGGAAAAATATCAAATAAAAGTTTGCTATACATATTTTGTTGCTTTCTTTGACGTATATTTATAAATTGACTTAGTTTTTATATCTCCCGGGACTACCAGCTACAATGAAATAAGTCATAAGAATAGACTGCCTTTAAAAGTGTTCTTTATCTTTATGCCTATAATATAGTATTCCTTAATCTAGGATTTTCTTGCTTGTAGCGCTTAGTTGATTATATATAATAATAATAATGTTCTTACAAATTTTCTTATGTTGTTAAATAAAACTTACAACTATTTTTAAAGTATGTCAAAAAAGTCTCACAAATTTATTTAACTTTTTATTTCTACATAGATATGCCGTTGTTGTTATGAACTCTTTCGTTTCTAGTAAACGGCCGGACATCGAGAATCCTTAAAAATGTTATTGACCTTAAAAACTGTGCAAAATTTCATTCTTCCAATCCCAGCAGTTGTTTTTCACAAATAAATAAATTCAATCTTATAAGCTTTTTGACTTTAATGTTCCGTGGCCTTCGATTTTTTATACTTTCGTTTCCTTTGTCCGTGTTTGCCTAATACCTACGATACCTACGAAACTACATTCATTTTACAAATTCGTTTTCTAACATTTTAATTTGGCTTGCTCACATGCTTCGTTGCTCTTAAACCTATGGAATATTTTTGGATACCGCACAGGTGGGTGCATAAAACTCACGACTTCCAAGTCGCTGGGCGCGATTTCAAATCGCAGCTCAGCAGTAGCTATATACACAGTTACTCAGACTTATGTTTGCTTGTTAGTATTTTGAATCTACAAACATTGTACACTGCTTGCTTTGAAATTTGTGTAAAAGTATTTATCTTAGAAGTGTTACGCGAAATTCGGCTGAATGTATTAATACTATGCTACTGTAGCCAGAGAAGAATAAGTAAGTGAACAGTCTACAAGGTTGAAGCTTAGCATATACACTATATATCCTAAAAGGAATATTTTTTTTTTTGATTTATCGAGAAATTAAATAACTTTCCAAAATTGAATCATATTTAAAAACAAAAAAATTAACTAATAGCCTAGTAGGTAGGTACAGCGACTACCTAGTCAGTGTTGGCGGATTCAAATGTCAATGCGGTACTATTTTTTATTTACTTACCTTTTAAGAGTGCTCAGTCGGCAAGAGCTTAACACTATTTCACGAATAGGCGACATCCCCTGAACGATTGGTGATATAATTAAATAAAAAAAAATAAAAAAAAGTAAAAAATTTAAAAAATATGGAAGGACACGATCCATAATTAAAAAGCTTTTCGCCACTTTGCTTAATATAGTTATTTGTATAACCACTATAACCGGCAATTTTTAATAACATTCCTAGTTGGAAAATTACGATCTGTGGGTTGAATACGAGAAAACAAAAGCATCGGACGAACGGACAAACTTAGGTAGGTAATAGAAGGTGGATGTATCTCAATTATTTTCATTTGTTGTATACACGCCCACAAACTGAGTAAGTACATCCTTGTGCCATAAGTGGTGTAGGCACAAGCATAAAACAACTGCCCTAATGTCAACACAACAACCAGCCAACTGAACAGTTTTTACGTTTAACTTTGACGCTAAATATCGAATGAAACACAATTTACACTTTTCAACCGAATGCTGATAAAACATCATATTTTTTCTTTATAAATTACACCCAATCACCCCAACGAATGTATTCGAGCAGCATAAAGCTTTAAACAATTTGATAACGTATTGAAAATGTTATAGACTTGTGCCTGCTTTTATTTATTTATTGCATAAAAACACTTTCACGCTGAATAAATATTCTCATCCTTACCATCATCGTAGCGTTCATTCTACAAAAAAAAAAAAAAAATTAGATACATCCCTAATGAACCAGGAATTTGAAGGCATTTTAAAATTTGACTTTTAAATGGCACAAAGTGCACCCTTCTAGAAGCTAAAAAAAACTAAAAGATCCAGCTTTTGGCTACAGATATAAAAACAAAACCGTCAAGTTTATATTAAGAAGTCTTAATTATTGCTCTCATTATGATTGCACTGAGGATCGGCTTCTGCTTGTCGTCACATTAGCTAATTTTAAAAGAAAGTGCAAATATTTGCTTCAAACTTTGTAGAACGAAGCTGCCAACAGCCTTAGGCGGGACTGCTTAAATAGCGAGCTGTTGCTTCACACTTAAATCTGATAAAAAAGCGTGTTACATATAGCAAACGAAGATATTAGATAATTTTTAGCAAAATTATTATGTTGCTTTCAAAAACCTGTTAACGATTAAAGAGTTTCTATGATTCTCCGCAAACTTTCACTTTCTTCGAAAATGTTTTGTTTTTTTATACACAAAAAACATATATTTGCATACATAACATTTAATAACATTTTGAATAAATCTTTAAATAAAGAAAACAAGAAAACGAGAATCATTAAAACCAATTGATTCCAAAAGTCAAACAATTTCGCTGCATGTGGAAGTGACGTCTCCGTGTGACAAACATATACTATACAAAAAAATTGGCAACAAGCTGAGAGCGTGACAAACAAATTTTCAAGCGTAACTTTTACCTTAATTTTCCAATCATTTAAATTGTATACAAATTCAGTCAAGCGGAGGGTTTAACTTATTTGATAATTGAAAACAGGTAATTGGAAAATGAATAATAGAACATGTCAAAGACAGCGGAGAGTCAGAAATAACTACTCGTAGATTTAGTAAATAAATTTTTAATGCAAATCATTAGTAAACCAAAATTAATTTGAATCTTTATTCATTTCCTTTTTCTTTTTGCTGAATCTTTAAGCAGTTGCTGGGTCGACTTTATTTTAGTATTTTCTACTGAATTAACTTTACCCATTTATTGCACGTTCATTACTATAATATTTGCCCACCTTTCCGCATTCCGAAAGAGAAATCATTTTCGCTGCATTTAAATATCAAGATTCCTAGCAATTAGCGGAAAATTTTGCTATTTAAACCAAACAATCTGCTTGACTTCGCTGATAACATGCATCGTCTTATGTACATGTATTGCAAACTACTTATATAATAAAAAGTGGACGTTGAATCGTAACGAAGTCTTCTCGCGAAAATAAGACTCGCAACTGATTCATTCCGTTATGAAATTTTTTTCTTCGAATATATAATGAGTTTTATTTTCTCAAAGACTTTTTAACAGATTTCCTTACTTAAACTTACTTTATCCTCAATATGCCAATATGTATAACAGAACCTTTATTTTAGAGCAAAGGTGTTTCAGCCTCAGTCTTTTTGAATTTTGTTTTGATATACTCGTTTTCCAAATACACTTGGTCAGGAAGGTGTCATTCGGAAGCTGGTTTTCAAATTCGTGGTGATTCGAAATCGCATCAACAGTTTGGAGATTGTCGCATAAACTATTCATCTAAAATTGATTGGACCTCGTCAATGCATTCCTTCTTTTCATTGTCAGACATCAGCTTCACCACTCACATAGCCCATTTTTTAGATTAGCTTCACGCAAAAAAAAAAGGAAATTGTTCTCGGAAAACGGCGCTGCACATGCATGTGTAATTTAATCTGTATATAAAATCTCCGAAGCGTATCGTTAGTTATAGATTTGTTAGTTAATCGTCAAGCTAGATGGAATTATTTTACGTAACTCTAATGCATCTTCGCGTTAACCTCTAATTTAATATTTATTGATTTTTGGAAGTCGTAATCACACCTTATACCACTTCCGGTGTCAACCTGTCCACTTACCAGCTTTCAGCTAAATGTCTGCCCGCCTAATGTCACTGACTAATAGTATATCGGCACACCTAATTAACGTGAAAAATTTGGATCGGGCCGGAAAGGTTTTTGAAAAAACTCTCTCATGAGAGAAACGTAAGCATTTAACTTAACAAACCGACCTAAGTGTTAACATTTAAAGCGAAATTTGGTTCATAAGAGTAATTTGATAAAAAAAACTGATCTTATCAGACTTCGAGCACGTTTATCTATTTTACGGACCTCACCTCAGGGAAGGTTTCTTACAGAAAGAAGCCCTTATAGCACCGCAAGGTGTACTGTTTGATATGGTGTTTTATTAATTGATATTTTATGGCGAAAATAAATGAAACAATTTATCAGGCAAAATGCTCTAGGGTATTTAATAGTCGAGTATGCCAGACTATAACTTCTTTACTTATTTTTTTCTTTTTTTAGGGAAGTTCATCATCGTGCTCAGTTTCTTAATTGATTGGTATTCAACAACTATAAGTGTTATACTTCAATTTTAGTGAACTGAAGAATTGAAATGATAAACAGACGACAGACGACAGACGAGCTAAAGTAGACCGTTAAAAACAGGTCGAAATGGGTACACAGAAAAATATGCGGACAACCACCATACCAGGAAATTTACGTTCGAGTGGACGGACGGATGTATGTAAGAAAACTGCTACAACGATTTAAAATTTCCCACTTATAAAAAATATGTCTCCTAAGAGTGGTCCTTTAAGCATCATAATTAGATGTTAGAAAAAAGAGAAGAAAGAAAAAAAAACACAAATAACCTCACCTATAATGCATAGAAGACTGAATAATTTCACATTTCTATAAAAAAAAGAATTAAAGCCGATAAGTATCAAAAAATTCGATCTCATTCAAATGTTTCGTAAACAGCTAGAAAAGCAAAAATTTATGTAAATTTGTATAAAATGTTTACTTTATTGAAATCCATTAAAAGAGAATTAATAACAGAAAAAAAAAAACGCAAAAAATGTTAATTTATTCAAATAATTTATTCATAAGCTCTGCAAGACTTTCTTTGCAAAAAATTGTATTCGAAGAAAATGCAAACAGAAAGTGTAATATATTGATTGAAATATGAAAAGGAGAAAAACCAAAAAGCGTTTTTATTAATGAATTCATTAAAGTAAAAAAGCGAAAGAACATATAAACTCAACCTGACCTACGCGAGATTTTAGTAACAAAATCATCATACACGCGCCTTCATCTCCGGAAAAAATTTATTTTTGTTAAAAAGGAAAAAAATAATAAAGTAATCATGAATTTCAAATGCTGTTTCTTCATAAACGTATTAGCATTGGGGTTGTTATGCTTTTCCAAACCGATGTTAGGTAAGTAAGTGCATAGAATTAAAGTCATTTAGAATTTACTTTATTCATAAATGTATTTTGTCTTATTTTTCTTTCAATTAAGGCGGTCGTCTGCAATTACGTCCTCTTTCAACTGACGAAGTTATTCGCATACTCAAAGAAAACGGTAAACCTGATGCCAAGCCTCAAGGTCGCTTTTTTACTACGGGTGTAGCAGCTGTTAAGGGATTTGCTTTAGGCTTAACGAAAGGCGTTGGCATACCTTTGGTTTATGAGTTCGCCACTTCGAACAGTACTATTGAGTTTCTTAATAGGCTTACTTATAATGGCCAAAACCAACCAGTGCAATATGAAACGGAGGAAGTTTGTATTGGTGGCGATGACGATTATGATGATTATTATGATTGCGGTAATGATTGCGACTACGGTAATTATTACTACAATAACGACTATGACGACGATTACGACTATAGAAAACGGAAAGGTCGAGCTGATAATGTTAATTTACCCAAAGACACTATGGACACTTTAAAGATGAAAGAAATACTATCATCAAATAAAGCTGGTAGTGCAAGTAAGGTTGAATATAATGATAAAGTTTCTTCTACTGCGACAGATTCAACTGGCGCTACTCAAAGCAAGCGCAAAAAGCGCAGTAAGACTTGTATAATTGTGCAAAAACCTAAAGTGCAAAGTAATCGATAGAAAATATAATCAGTTGCGGAATTTTTAAAATATATTATTATGTATTTAGTATTAAGATTATTTATTGTAGATTTAAAAAAAAAAAGATTCTAAAAGTGGAAAATAATCTTAGTGAAGAAAATAAGTGAATAACAAGTTTTAGAAGAAGAGCTAAGAAAATCCTTCGCTATCAACGACTTGATGGTTGGTTATCATTAAAAAAATAAAAAAAGAATTGCTCTCAGAGACGTAATTGTAACCATCTTCATACACAAATATAACGCAACATATATTGTAAAAAAAAATTTTATAGTGTTTCCTTTGTCTTTGCTGATAGCAAGGAGCGTAGTCAACCGTCGGGCCACCTAGAAGCGGTTCACGATGAGTTATTTCCCTTTTTTTGCACTAATATTAATAATATCTAAGGTGACCGTCAGTTTGTTTTTAGCCCATAATCGCATACGACATTATTATGGGCTATGGTCTCCTCACAATATATAAAGCGTTTCATTTCAGCAGCGATGCTCAAAGGAATAGTCTATCCGCGTTAAGCTTTCAGATATTAATAAACGTTGAGCTTTCCTTTGTTTTATTCGGACTGGTGTAAATGATTTAAAACTCTTCTTTGATCAATGGTTATTTCCGTATCTGTATGAGACTGCGTCTTCTGCGATCTTCCTGAATTTCATCAGCATTATGTCCACCAGAGAGCTACGGCTTTATAGTATCGAAGTTTTCAGAGCTGAAATGTGCAAGCCATTTGCATACTACCAATTTAGACAATCCATCGTTACCTTAAACGCCATGAATCCTCCCTCGCTGTGAAACGAATACAATCCTGCAAAGCGGTATTGTTTTGTTCGAGGCGATATTGTGGGATGTAGCGAATTTTTGCAAAAATTTGACTTGTCGACGAAAACACACATAGAAAAAAGCTTTGTCTTGCTAATACACCTCTAATGACTGACTCAAATATAATCCACATAAGACGACTGCAAATTTTTCAGAAAATCGGTTTTGTTTTAATCACATAATCAATGCCTTACCTCATCTGGAATACGAAATATGGAATAAAATATTTTTCGTTGTAATTCCGAACTATTCCGCAAGTATTCGAAAAAGAACGCTTGCTTCAGAAAATCCTCTGCTGAGAAATTACAGCTTATTGCCTTGCCTTCTGTGATGTCCAAGTTCTCTAATCTCTCCAAGCGTGGTTTTTCAAAACGGCCAAAACTATAACCGACACAATTTCCACAGCTTTCATGCGAGTCTTTCTTATAGTATCCTTAAAACAATATTCGCAAGAGAAATAGTTAATTTTAAGATTTTTATTAAGACTGGATTAACTGAATAAATTCAACGTTGAATAAATTCAACGCCTTTCTACTTCTGCATCATGAAGTAGATATCTTCAGATGTTTTATATTGGGTTTTAATGATTTAATGCAGCAAATACACACGGGTAGTCTTTTTTTCTGGGACACACCCGCTTTGCTATTTCTAGAAATGATATACCTATTCTCACTTAAACCCATCAGTTTGAGGGGTAAATTTAGCGAATCGTCACATTTGCTAAACTAACGATAAGAAGATAAAATTTCACACAAATATGCCCACATCTATTAGGAAAGGAGTGTCATCTATTTCTTTAATTTTCGCCTATAACTTCCGCAGATATATATTAGCAAAACTGGCGTTTGAGTATTCGCTCGAACCATTTGTATATTCGTTGCAAAAACACGTCAGGCAATCAAATTTCATTCAGATATCTCAAAAATTGCGGTTTGCAAAGTGAACAAAAGAAAAGAAAGGCGGATAGACGAACAGACAAGCTCAGTATAATAAAAGGGCTGTTTATCTCAAATCCTTCTGAATGTTCCATACATCCGCACTAATTTAACATAACCTCATACCACAATTAGTTAGTATCTTGAATTAAATTGAGGTCATATCTTTCTTTTGTTGTTAAGAGATTTAATTGTGAAAGAAAACGAACCAATAAACATAAGTTTTCCAAAAACTTTAATTAAATCAACGCAAGTGTCCCATCACATAAATGTAATTGTTTGACTAAACTTAAATGTGGTAATTTACACTTTTCTAAAACCTGACAAGGACTTGCTCCACTTTCTTCAATATATTATACATATAAATGTATATACAAAAGTTACTGTCATATCAAAGTGTGCACATGTTTTTCTAAGGATAAGGAGTTTAGTGCAATAAAGTAAAGAATTAATTGAAATTTCTATTTCGACGTTTATAGTTTTCAATGTCAACGTCATTAAATAAATCCCTGAAAAACATGCGTAGGCACACACTTGGCCTTGAAAACGAAAAGAAAGAAACTAAGAAAATAAAATTTTCAAGCATTTTTGGTGCGAGTTATTCTTCTATTTTGCCATTGCCAGCGCAGACAACAACGATAAACAAGACAAAACTTTTAACAACAACTTGAAAATAAAAAAAAAAATAATATATAAAAAGTTTTTATGTTTTCAAAAATTTGCAAAAGTTTTAGTTTTGCCTATACAAACATATACAAACGTTTTGTCTTAACAGTCATCCCTTAGAAGAAGAAAAATTTAAATTGCAACTATTTGACGCGCACGGAAGGATATTGAAATGTTACGTGCAAGTAAAAGAAGAAGAAGAAATACTCTTATGGATTATATCCGGTATCCTGCTGTTCTTTTTGTAAAGGTACTAAAAAGAAAGTGACCTTCAAAATGAGACTTTACTCTTTCCTCTAACTTGATTGGAGTAAAATTGAATATAAAAAGACCGATAGAAAAAAAAAAGGATAGAAAAAAAAAAACTTTCACTTAAGTACAAAACAGGTAGTTATTAAACATTAAAACAATCGTGTTTCAAAACCATTAAAGTTTTATTTCCTTTTATTTTTTATATCTACAAAATAGTTTCATTGACAATATTGACCATTTACCTAATTTTCACATTTGCGAAAGAAGTTTGATCTATCAATTTTTCGAATTGTCATGAGAAGGCCCACCTTCTACACACTTTGCTTTCCAGTTTAGATAATAAAAGGCTTATTAATTTATTTTTATTTATTACTGGATGCAATTATACATAACAGCCATATATACACTATGTGAGACTGTTCAATTTAAAAGCTTCAGATGTGAGACTCTTACATTTAAAGGCTTAAGATTACGTATTTCAAGAGCAGATCATTACTCAAAAGCACAGCAAAGTGGACAGTTACAGTTGCGTAGGGAACAATTCCTTAGTATACTTGTCGACATAAACTAATAGTACGCGAAGTTAAGTCTAAATATTAAACTATGATATCATTCAGAAAAGTTAGCTTAGAAGGTACACTAAATAGTATGCAATATGTTAAACTTTAATCAACATGACTCCAACTATATATAACGTATAGCTGCTTCGGTTACCGCACTGAGATCCGAATCCGCGGCCACTGACTTGGCAGTTTTGAGTCTTATCGTCTAGGCAATGCGAGAGCTCAATGATGTCGTCAGTTCTTTGTTTTCTCTGAATCTGCATCTCTTCTGGAGAACCTCTCTCGTTTGCTGCCGCTTCTCTCAAACTTTTACTCACTTGCTTTTGAACAAACTCTCTTACTATCCATATCCATATTGTATTACTTACTCTTCTCCATTTTTTCGCAAAATTCCTATGGCTCTCTTAGCATTCTCACGATAAATTTGTACATTACAAAGTCTTTTTTCTCGTAAACTATTTCCTTGAAAACATATTTAAAAAGTTGGTTTAAAAAACAAGAAATAAAAAAAATAAATAAATAGAAACTAAGTGTACAAGAGTTGTAAAAGTGAAATCCATTAACTATTTTATGTGTTGACCAGCTGTTGATAAAGTTTACACTTTTAAGTGTTAACTGAAAGACGGCAATTGCAACTGATGAAAATTATTTAAAATGAGTTCCCCCTGTTTCAGTACTTGGTACTAAACTAAAGACGAAAAATCGAGCAGAAAAAAAAAAAAGCTAAATTACAAAAGCGGACAAAGTTGATAGTTTTAAAATTTTTATGGTTTTTTAAAATTTATTTTCTACATATATATATAAATTTATATATATATATTTTTATTTTTTTTTTTTTCTTAAAAAGTCTACGAAACAACTTTTTTGAGTTTACTACGTAATGTTTATGAGAATAAAACTCTTTATGTAAAAGTTTAGCAAAAAGTTTTTCAATTTATATATTCTGATTATACTATGATATTATTATCCAGAGAATACTCGTCCGTTTAGCAAATAATTGTGCATAATCAGGATTCAGTTATAATCCACGTTTAAAAGTAAGAAAATATTGTCTTTTCTTAGTAAATAAAAAAGTTTATTTTATATTTATGTTTATTTTCTCTATACGTATACCTACATCACTCAATTTTTGTTTTATTTTTGCAAAAAAATCTGTACTTTATTTTCTCTCTATACAATGTAGCATATGCATCGTAACATATACAGTGCATTTTCAAAATTAAAGCTTATAGTTTCTTTTTTTTCTTTCTTTTATTTATTTAATATAATTCACTCATTCATCAAATAATTGACAAACTTACTAATTACACGGAATCCAGCACAAAGCACTTTCCGGCGAATACAAGTTTGCGAAAAAGTTTTAATTGAATAACTTGCATTATACGTGTACAATATTAAGCTACGATTACAATGAATTTATAAGGTGATAAACTTATTTGCATTATACGATAAAGAAAATAAATGAAAAGGTAGAATTAAAAGCCTAAGCAAGTGTTGAAAGTAAGTGCAATATTTCCAACAACATATATAAAATATAAACTTGGATAAATAACAAGTTAAAATATAATATAAAATATGTATAATAAAATAATAAAGTTCATAACATAAATTAGTTCAATACAAAATTTATCAAGTATACTCAGCGCTTACGTAGTATAAACGGACTCAAAATGACCGTGGATTAATGGTGGTTAGAGCCGTAAATAAAGTATACATCCCACGGTCAAGCAGTTTATGTATTTGGCTACCATATCGTATACTTTGTATACAGTTAAAAGTATTCAATTGCGTGTAACACTTTGTAAAAAAGCTCTTAACGTGCGTAAGACGCAATTGAATTTTATATTATACTACTCGAGACTTGTAAGGGAGTCAAATTTTACCTAGGTTAATAACGTTTTACCTTAATGATTGTCTAG